CCCCTGTCCTGGTAGAGCCCTTTCTGACTCTTGCCTAGGTGACCCAGTCAGCCCTCCATCTGCTGTCCATGCCTCCAGGCTTGTTTCTCTCACTGCCACCCCATCCTGTCACCAGAGGGAGCTAAAGGCATTTGGGAGGTGAGGCTCCGGCCCCAGGGCCAGGTGCTGCCTCTGGTCCGCTGGCCTGGCCTGGCCCCAGGCACTCCTTCTACCATGAAGGCCCTCCCCTCTTCTTTGTAGACAACTCTATCACCTTTTAAGACTGAACTCAGGCTTCTGTCTCCTTGTGGAAGCCCCACATGAACTCAGACATTTACCTCGGCCTCTGACAGCCGTGCCTTGTGCAAACTTGTACTGTGGTACCTTGTACATCACACTGAAATGCTGTGTTCCTACGTCCACCACCCCTGTGGGCTGGGGTCCCTCTCGGGCAGGGACTGCATCACCTTTGTGTACTGATTGTCAGGCCCAGTGTCCTTATCAGTACTTAATATGGTCCACGGAGATTTGCAAAGCAGGTCTGGACACCAGGACATATATACTTGGAGGGAGTGACTGCATCCCCTATACTGTTTTGACAGAGGAAGTGGCAAATCCAGGGGAAGAGGAAGCCCAGGGCAGGAAAGCAGAGGTTGGGGGCAATAGGGATTTGGGCGTTGCCCCCCGGTCCTCCCTTCCATACACCACCCCCATACCTGCTATCTTCTCCCCAGCCTCGTCTTCCTCCCTCTTTTTGGGCCTCTTCCTTTTTAGTGGTGGGCAAAGCACTAGTGGGTGGGAGATGGCTCCAGGACAAATGATCAGTTAGGAGTGGGGGGTGCTTTCACCTGTATGCATCCCTGAGGAAGTTCCAGGCAATAATGGCCCCACCTCGGCATCCAGCAGGTGCTTAGGCAGCATTAGTCCCCATTCTGTCTCCTCTTTAACCAGTAGATAGAGAAGTCCACTGGAGCAATAACAGTACCAGGCCTCAGGCAGCAGCCAGGCAGCACGAGCTGAGCACCCACACTCTTCCAGGAGTAGACGGATTCCATAAGGAAGGCTCCCAGCCTTTCTGCCTCCAAGAGCCTTTTTCTCACGTCCTCTACTGTGTCCTGTGTTTATTTCACTAGATGCACTGCACTTACTAAATGAAAATTAGTTAGTATGGGGAAAATGTCTTCCAGAAAAAGGCCACCTGACTTCTCAACATGGACATCCTGGCTTGGGGGCTTTTTGATGCAGTCTAAAAAGCAAATCGTTAAACATTTGCTTCTTTGAATATTAAGTAATGTGACCGATAGACGTTAACATCCAAGCCCACAGCCTCATTTAGGGCCATGGATGATGTGAAGGTCAGAAATACAGCAGGACCTCTGTATCAATGGGTTCCACATCTGTGAATTCAGCCAACTGGGATAAAAAATATTTGAAAAAAATGTTACCTTGTGGCTGACATGCACTACGTAGTTAGGTCTATGATGGNAAGAGAAGTTAGGATAACAGCAATCCTTACAACACCAGCCCTGTCTTTTGTACTAGCTGTGTTCACACATGATCTCTCTTTCACTTTTACATCTTTGTCTCCTTTGCTCTCACACAGTTTCTGTAGACAGGCAGGATGCCCGAAAATGCCGGGTTTCCCAGGGAACAAAGACCAGAGGCCCGTGTCCTTCTCTGCCGGGAGGCAGACATGCCTTTTGCTGAGAGGAACCTCCCAGTGAGTCAGCTCCCTATCAACAGGGCAGCAAGTCAGGGCTGTGGAGATAAAAGCTGCTTTCAGGACTGAATTACCCTAAACAGCTCTGACACCCGGCAATCTGGGAGTTTTTAATGGCCCCTGTGAAGGCTGCTGTGTTGTGTTCTTCGCCACCCCCTGCTCCCCCAGGGAAAGTCAGTAACACACCAGAGAAGACAAAGGCCACAGGAAAAACACTATCCTGAAAGCAGAGCTATCAAAATTAAGTTAAGGGAAGCCTCAGGGCTAATTTGGTTATCCCCAAGTTGGCTTCAGGCCAGAGTTGTGTTAATAAAGTATTTGATATGGAGACTGGTGCTGTGGACTCACCCAACTGGGGGTTTACACATAATGGATTTGTTTTTGAAGCTGAAGTGGGAAGTGGTGGTGGTTCAAATCTGAGTTTTGCCACACTCAGGGCCTGGAGAGTCACTGATTTCTGCTCTCATCTGCTCCTGTCCGCAGATCGGGGAGAGAAAGCCTTGGTCTGCTGCTCAGCCATTGGTTATATTAGTAAGGTTTGCCGCCTCCTGTTGTAAGGTCCACTGGTTCCCGAGAGAGAGAGGCAACAGTGTGGGAAGCCACAACCCTTCACTGCTTCATTCTTAGTAGTTCTTGCTTATTGTTTGGTTCTAAGTCATGAAGGATGAATTCCTTACCAGGCCTGTGTGACTGTAACACTTCTGGCCGATGGGCAGATGAAGGTGCAGGCAGCCCAACGGGTCAAGACATTTAGAGCTAGAAACAATGAATGTCCTGGCTCCTGGGTCTGGGTCCCAGACCAGCTAGGGTGAACTGGAGAACAGGGACACAGGAAAGAGGGGAAATCCAAATGTCAAGGGCAGAAAGGAAAGTGCGGGGAGCAAGAAGGATAAATGATGAACCAAAAAGAGACGACTCCAGAGCTGGAGGAGAGAAGGGAAGAGGCACTTCTCCCGTATTCCTGCCTGCAATGCAGGCATGGTGGCCGGAGATGCAGTGGCCACGAGGGAACAAGTGTGAGGAAAAGACCAAGAAGATGACAGTGATATGCGTCTTGACATCATCAAGCATTGAACTAGTGATAGTAGTCACGTGTAGGGCCACTGAACTAACATCAGCAGTCATCTGTCAGACAGTTTTTGTTATGGGACTGGACCCTTCCTTGGGCTCCCATCATTGGCTGGGTCAGACTTCAGTCTGAATGGAACCTCTTAGAATTCAGACCTCCCACCTACTTGTAATGACATCATGACTGACCAGAGGCTCCTGCTGCTATCCCTGAAACAGCAATGCAAGTCTGGACTGGGACCGGGTTTCCAGGGCTCCTTCAGACACCGGACATGGCCGTCAGCTTGCCTTCCTGGATGGAGAGCCAGGCATTTCTGGGCCACTCCCCCAGCCCAGATGCCCAGGCCAGGCTGCTCCCCTTTCTTCACCCACCCCTCTGTTCTGCCTCCACACGCTTCACGGTCAAGGCTGTTAGAGCGTATGAGAGTTATACCTATGTTGTGGAGGGCCTGGGAGCTTTCCCCAGGCCACACCAGCCTAGGAATACAAGTAGGATCTTAATATTAGCAACAAATAGTATTATGCGGTTCTGCTCTGACACACACTTGAAGGAACCTAAAGTTTTCTCCTTGAACAACCCTCTCATTTTAGCACACATGCTCTGATGCTGTCCTCTCTGTCCCCTTAACTTGCTTTATTTTCCTCATATCAGTATTTGAGACTACGTCATCTCTACACTTGTTTGTTGTCTGTTTCCCCGACTAGTGGGTAAACTCTACAAGAGTGGGGCTTAGTAGATTTTGTTTTGCTGCTTTTTCTCCAGGACCTAAAACAGTGCTGGTCACAGAGAAGGTGGTTCATAAACCTTTGGCAAATGAAAACCAAAACCCAAACCACACAAAATAGAAAGAAGAGAGTCGGCCAAACACCAGCCCCCAACCCACTTGAGTGGTCTGAAGGGGTAACTCATGCATGCTGGGGTGCTGTGTGTGGTTCTGTGGGAGCCCCGTTGGCCCCCTGCAGTTCTGTATTAGAACGAGAGCAGTACAGTATGGAGTGAGTCGCAGGAGTTCTGGGAGTAGAAGAGGATGTTTGCTGAAAGGTGCTGTGTCTCTTACCCGTGTCTCCCAAGGAGCCAGCGCACACCTTCACGTACTCATCCGCACACACACCAGCACACGCTCATACTCGCACACCCACCCCTGTATGACTGAAATCCAGGGAGCCCTGCAGTTACAAAAAAACCCTCTAGCCTCACTCCTTAGAGTGTGGACATTCCACTGACCCGATGGTTGATGGAACTGATCAGTTGATAGACTGAATGATTCGTTAGTGGGATCAAAGTCATCAAGCTGGTTGAGGGGGAAAAAAATAGTCTTCTTTTGCTCTTTTGCAGGGAGCTATTCTGAGGCCTGGGGGGTTTTCTGGTTCTTGGGTTGCTGGACAAGACTGAATTTTGCCTTATTTTCCTTACTTGTTAACATTATCCTGGAAGAGGATCGCTCAACCTGTCAGTTACTTAGTAAATAATAACTAAATGAATAAAGTTTGCTCTCACATTATTATGAAGTCACAGTCAAGATTCACTTAAAAAACAAATCAGCCCTCCCAGATCCAATCACCCGGGATTTGTTTGAAAATTTTCCTGGAAAAAGCTCTGGAGGTCGCATTATGACTGAGATCTTGACAAGCTTAAAAGACTAAAAACCCCCTTTCAATTTATATTGATGTGCGGGTATTTTTGGGACAATCCTATACTCCCCACACAAGTGAGTTATTTCGCTCAAGTGGAGTATAAGGGTTTCACCTGCAAATTGTGATCAGTTGGATTGGGAGAATTGATTGAACAAGGGGTGCAAAATACCCCATCCCCCCNTAAGAACGGCGTCTTGCACGCGCATCATACGTCTGTTTCCCAAACATTTTTAGATTCACTGCCTCATTGAAACAGCATCAAGTAATATTCAAAGAAAACCCATTATAATTATAATTATTAGCAATGTTCTGAAGTCAGCTCATGCATGTCTATTATTTCCACAGATAGTCTGTGGGTTCCGTGAGGATCTAGGACACATCTTCCTTTGCTGCCACATTCCATGATCTCATATCTCCCCATCTCTGGTCCTTGCACCCTATTATGGGCCAGAGTCTGTGGCTCTGTGCCTCGGTGTGCCACTTGGGCGCCCTGGGGGCATGCATCCATAGGCAGCACCCCGGTCTTCTTCAGGAGGGCAGATATGCCCCATGGCTTCCCCCTCTCCCATACGCACCTGTAAGTGTCTGTGGCTGGCACCTTCCAGGTCTGGATGCCCTTCAGGGGGCCCTTGCTGCCCACCACCACGCTCAGGTTGGTGTTCCGATAGGCGTTGTTGCACTGGGCCTGCGTGGGGCCATGGGGCCCACTGGCCCCACACGTGGTAAACAGCCAGTGAACTGTGGCACAAGAGGAAAGACAGTCACTCACTTGGCCCGGCCCTTCTTCCTCTATGGGCCTCCCTGGGCTGCCTCCGAGCAGTCTGCTCCATGGCCCCAAGCCCACATTCCAAGATGGCACCAAGGTTGGGACAAGAAACATCACTCAGTCATTCAACCTGGAAACTGCAGTTGCGGATCTACTGTGTGCCAGGCCCTGGGTCAGGTGAGAAATGGGTCAGGGGAGAGACACAGATGGAGCAATCTTGGAACCTGGCCGTAAGAAACTCACAGCCTACCGAGGGAGACCAAAAGGGATGCCACCAACCACAATCCAGGGCAATAAGGAAAAGAAAAGCCCCAGGAGGGTCCAGCTAACACCGCACAGTGCGAGTTGGAGGAGGGAGAGAAGACCCCTTCCCAGTAGGGCAGGCACGGGCGGGGGCCGGGCCCTCTCCCGGTTTCTCACCAAGTCTAGCACAGTGCTGGGCCAATGATAGACACTCAACCTGTGCTACTATGACTGCACGTAACCTGATCCCAAAGATTTCGTATCTTTATCTAGGATCCTCTTAGCTTAGAGAAGATCGAAAGCGTGAACTAGACACAGAGTCAGCTCCATGACCCCTCGCTGGCTCAGGGACCCAGGACAGTGTGGAAGGGGGACGCCTTGCACTCCTGGCTAGTTAGTGTCTTTGTCTACCTGTCAGGCTCTCAACAAGGCTCGGCTTCCTTATTCACAACTATGTTTGGGTTGGTTCCCTTTGTTCTTTCTGGCTAGACTTTTATAGACATCAGGGAATGTCACAACAAGATGGGACCTTGAATTCAGTGATTCCCAAACCACCTGAGGACCTTTAAAAGTACAGATCCCAGGGCCCTGGAAATTTAGGTTTATAAATTCTAGGGTGGGGTCGGGGGGAGAGGGGAAGGGCACAACACTTGCATTATGTAAAAACTTTCCCAGGAGAATCAACCAGATTCGTGACCTAGTCCCACCTATCTCATTGTCCAGATAGAAGATGAACATTCTAGAGAGAGGACGTGACTTGAAATTTGTGAGCCTGGAGCTCAGAGCCAGGACAGACCAGACCAAGGTTGCTCAGACCCAGAGAGTCTGGTCAGTACTGTGGTGGGTGGGCCCTCAGCCCCAGAAAGTCCCACTGTGGCCCCAGTAGTAGCTTAGCCTAGACTGTGTGGGCTTCTGGGCATCATGGCACAAACCAGGGCTAGAATCAGGACTCTGGTCCCCGTGAGGACAGGAGGTGACAAAAGGGAAATCCAGCAACTGGAATGTTTACGAGGTCAGGAAGCAGAAATATAAGAGAGAGACCGGTCATAAGCAGCAAGTGAAACCTTCGTTTTGGGAGAATCAAGGTCACAGTGGGACAATCAGTGAGATGGGTTTGATGCTGAACTGCCAATCTGAGCATGCAAGGGTCCTCATATTCCCCCAGCTGAGAGTCCACATTGGTCCCTGAGGCTCCGTGGAGCTGACGAAGCACCAAACGGCCCAAAGCAGGAGCCTGGATGGGAGGCAGGGAAGGGAGGAAGGCGGGCTCTTTCCTTTTATAAAAAAACCGAAACAAAAAACTATGGTATTAAAACTCATTCATGGGGGAAAAAAAAACAAAACAACTTCTTTATCTTGTTCTTACTTATACCACACACTGGAAGCATAGTTTAATACTCATTCACATCTAAATTGTATAAAGAATCCAGACATCAAAACACTGATTGGTTATAGACAGCTGAGTAAAGAAAGATTCATTGAGCACTGGGTTTCATTTTACGTATATTGCAGCACCATCCAAGAAGAAACAAGTCAATTAGTAATATACAGCACAATGCTAAAAACAACAACAACAACAAAAACCCGGCTAGACAGTAATTGTACTGGTTTTATTACTGTTGCTAAGCCATCTCATCTGCTCAACTGAATGCAAAGAAACAGAGCAAGATACAAAGGAAAATAAGTTCTCAGCTATATACTAATCACAATACTAAAGATTGGCCTCATGTTGAAGGCCTGTGGTTGTGCCACAGAGGAGCACTGAATGTCTCATGTGGATATTTTGTACCATTTTGGTCCTGCTCTGTGGAAGTGAATTTTATCTCTATCTAGACGGAGCTGAACTTCATGGGAGCTGTGGCATATTGAACCATTTTGATGGCCATC